GTATTTTTCATTGCCACGTATTCTTGGAAAGTCTTCTGGAATTTTGTATCTATTCTAAAGTTAATCATATTGCAACAAAAATAAACTTGCAGAGTAATTTTAATTCTCTGGATTTGGTCATGATTCTTCTCGTTCGTTCTTGTTTGTTTGATACAAATGTTGAATACTTGAGTATAAAAACGTCGGAGGCATTCGAACAATTTTAGATGTCCTAACATGGATTTTTAAGATCTCCATGTCATTTTTTTTCCCTTCTCAATTATATTTTTTCATCAAAAATATTTATTTTTCATTTATTTTATTTTATTTTAAAAATAAATGTATGCTAATTACATATAAAATAAACATTAGTCAGTGGTATAATTCATTTATATGCAATCTTTCATTTGTCTTACTCTCCCGATAGTCACCGAACATAAACTAAAATTGACATAAAAATATAATATTAAATTAATAAAAGTAAAATTTTTATATGAATTCAAATAATATAAAATTTAACATATAAATAATATGATGATCGGGTATTTTTGAAAAATTACATAAATTTACAATATTCCCACCAATAAAGTACGGACATATGAGATTTTAGACATCTGAAGATGTCGGGCATCTACATTATTAAAAAAACAAACAGTCTCATATTACATTAGATTAAAGTCCTACCTTATTCTATTCTTCCTAGAAAACTTCAACACCAATTTTATATTTTGGTAAATTTTATTTTATTATATAAAGATTGGTACATTTGATAATTTCGATTGGCCAAATTCATGAATCAACCCCCTTTTGTTTTGGGGAAGCTTTTTTTTACCGTCAAAAGTCAATTTCAAAAACTGCATTATTTGTGCTTAAAAACGTTGTAATTGTGTTGTTTGAATCCTAACTTTTGCAGAAAGTGTTGACTCTTATTGAACTAAAATTCGGCATCTATAGTTAAACTTAGGTTAGGATCTTTGTGGCAATTAGAAAATGAAAGACTCGAAATGTCTCCAAGTTGAAACTTGGGATACAGCTCCTTAGCCTAGAAAAAATATATCAAGATGTTTGGAGAAGGGTTGAAAGCTTCTCTAACTTTATGGGATAAAATATCATATATTGGAGGAGTGGATTTGAACTCACAATCTCTTAATTAGAGGTATATGTCAATTATCGTTGAGCTATGTTTGCTTTGACAGTTTTTCATTTGTTTTTTTGCTTTCAAAAGAGTGCCTACTTATTTTACAGGCTACATCTATTAATAGAAAGATTACAAGTTGAAATCAATATAATTGACACAATATATAATGAAGTCGGTAAACAAAGTAACATTTCAATATAAAGACGTAAACTAAAATTTAAAAGAGGAAAAACACGATTTTACTATCTAATCAGCCAATTTGACTTTTTTAAATGTAAAAAAAAAAACAAATTTTATCTATTTAACTAATTAAGATAGTTTTTAATATTTTATCCAATGTTGGTAAGACATTCTATATTTCCAACTTGAAGAAAAATAATTCATCAACTTAACTTATACAAGGACTAATTTACAAATGCAATGAATCCTGAAATAGGAAAGATAAATAAATAAATAAATCATAATTATTGATAAAGAGACGGACGAGAAACGGAGGCTATGATATAATTTTCCTGTGGCCAGTACAAGTTTATAATTAAATGGTGCTGACGTGTCTTCGTGGCCCACACGTCTTCAATTAGAATCCCACCTGGCACCCTCCCTCGAATATTATTTACCATTTTAAATTTTAATCTCCCGAGTTATTTCTGGTGGTCCCACGGCGGGAAAAAAGTAAGCGCTTGATGGAAGTTGGGAGTCAACTTGATGGACGGTGGTGATCCGCTGACACGCAAGGTTTGGGTAGGACGGATTGCATGCTAAGTACACGTAGTTGCAGATATTGGCAATCAGCCTTTTGATTATTGCACGCCAAAAGAGCGGTGACGCGTGAGCGTGAAAGGTGGCGACCAATGACCATTCCAAATTACAAATTAGAAAATGATATTTCCACGCCTCCTGGGGGGGGCAGAGGGTGAGGGCCGAGGGACAATACTACTTTATTTTTCCCTTCCAACTCATAAATGCCGACACGCACTATTGCTTCCTATGCTAATCTTTTTCTTTTAAAGGGAATTCTTGAAATTTAAAATTAAAAGTGTATTATACGCTTAAACGATTAATTTTGTTGCCTTAAAATGTGGAAAGAAGGTCCCGTTGCAAAATTTCCTAATGGGAATTAGAAATTATTGTAATCACTAATCAAATTCAAATCCCCCTAATATTATGCTTTAATAAAATTGGAAATTCTTTTTAGGGTAATATTTTTTTATAAGTATTTTGTCAATATATACCTATATTATGCTTTGAGAAAACTTTTGATATAAGAATTTTTCAACATAAACAATTTGGAAGTATTTATATAAATAATATAAAATATATATGTATTTTTAAATATGGCGGAAAGTTTGAAGTTTTATCAAATAGTATAATTTAAATCAAATTCAAACTTAAACTATACTAAAAAAACAGAAATAAAAAAAAGGTCACATTTATATGCAAACTAGGAAGGACCCTAATTTTGGGTAGTTCTAAAAATCTATATAGAATATGTAGTGTGTAGTTTTCCTCTAATTTTCTCCCACAATTCTCATAATTGAAATAATTTATATATAAATAGTTAACATGTAAAATTTTACCTTTCCTGAGAATATTTATGACTCCCCTTACACTTGTGTTAAATTTGGAGGGAAGAAAAAGTTATGACATTTTTTTAAAAAAATAAAATTTAAATTTATACTAACCAACAAAACTTTCAACATTTTTGTAAAAACGTGTTTGCTAATTAAATACTTCCTCCAAGTGTGGTTGAGTATTATTTGAATTCTTAAAGCCACTTTTAACTAAGAAAACCTTATATAGAAAATATTTGTTGGCACTCAAAAGATCACTCAAAACTCTCCTCAAAACACTATTAGGTGCTTTGAAATGGCCTTTTTAACGATCTTAAAAATAATTTTAATTGAACACAATCATTTTTCACAGTCTACTTTTAAATATATATATATATATAGACACACAAAGAAAGTTTTTTACTTACAAAATTATGGATTGTGACACAATCTTAAATTTCGTTTGGTAACATTCTGATTTCTTGTTTCTGTTTCTGATTTTTTTAGAGACATTTAGTAACTTACTTCGTTTCTCGTTTCTAACATTTGAAAAACGTTTAAAAAATGTTAAATTTTGGAAACAGCAAAAAGTATTTTTGTTTTTTCTGTTTTTGTTTCTTAGTCTTAGATTATCTAATACATTGTATAATTAACTAAATGCCTTTGTTACTCTGTTAGCACGGGCGTGCCTAAATAACCTCAGAGCGTGTGGTTCGATACAATAAGTAATTTTAATTTGTTTTTTATTTTAGATATATATTTCCGAGCAAGTCATAAACTCAAATCATCACTCTCACTAGTTCTTGTAAAAAAGCAAAAATAGGAAATAGTTATGAAATATATTTTTGTTTCTATTTATTTTTTCTAAAAAACAATAAATAAAAATAGTTACCATACATATTCTTATTTCTAGTTCTAAGAAAATTAGAACAAAGTAACAGGACACGAGAAACGGAAGTAAACGGTTTCATCAAAGCCCAAATGATACAAAAGATGTTGGACGATTAGAAATAGTTATTTTCCATTGAGTTTCAAAGTGAAGCTAACAAACAACAACCCCTAATGTATAAGAATTATCAAATTATGTTATTAATCCTCAAACAATCATTTTCCCCCAAAATAATAATTTTCAGTTATTAGAAATTTAGAAAGGCATATTATGGTAATTTAAAGTATTTTGTTGTTAATTTAAAATCAATATAAATAATAATTGATGAGTATTGTTCATTATATAATTTTTTGAACAACTCGTGTGTATGTTATTGTTAATATATATATATACAGTTTCTACCTCTCGTATATATATATATATTATTATTTTATAGAAAATAGAATTTATACAACAATTATCCAACGGAAATAAAAAAAAATACAAATAGGATGGGCAATGAACTTTTTAGATCTCCAAATAGTATTGTCCTAGTAAACTCCACGTAAGCTCAACTTATGTTTCTCAATCAACCCAATTTGTAATAAAAATCATAACTTAAATAATAAATTGCTTTTGTAATTAAATATAACTTAAATTTAAAGAATAAAATTTCTTCTTTTTGAAGTATATAATATAA